ATCCCTAAGCAGGAAGAGTTGATGCCAGCGCCAGCACGGACGTCTGTCCGGCACGGACACAGGACGGGACACGCAGACCCAGAGGCGAGGAAGCGTGGGGGCGTGACACCGTATATTTTCTTCAGAGCTACCACGAGGAGGAGATTCCTGGCTCCCAGGCCGGTGCTCAGGCCGGGTCCTTCTGAAGGAGGCTTGGGCAGGGTTCACACACACACATGCACGTGTGCACACACACAGATGGAAGTGTGCGAGCATGTCTGGATGAGGTCCCTGCCCTGCACGAAAGCTGAGCTCAGCTTCCACCTCCAAAGAACTCATCTACGCCAGTCCGGCAGCCGGGTCCGGACTGTCACGGGAATGGCCAGGTATGTGTGCATGTGTACACGTGTGCATGTCCGTGCCCGTGTGTGTGTGCCCGCTTGCATGTATGACTTCATACCACCACTGCAGGCCGGGTACAAGCTTCCAGAGTGGAGGAGTCCAAAGAGCAGGGAGCGGTCTGTGCTCTCCAGTGCTGGCACAGGGGGACTTTGCTCCCAGGCTGAGCCGGGGGCATTACCCCTCTGCTCCGGCCAGCCCACCGTCCATTGCTGCCGATTTCTACATGCCCGTCACAAAGACCAAGGCCGAGCAAAGGTCCCTCCAAACCCCGTCCGTCTCGTCTGCTTCCTGCCAGTGCAGGCTGTCGGGCCAAGTTGGATGAAAACAGGCATCACTTGAACCAAAAACCCAGTCGTCTCCACACCTGCTTCTCTGGGCAAAGCAGGGAGGGAGGCAGCCGGGGGCAGCGAGCGCTCACAACTTCCCGCTCCTTCCACCACATGTCTAATTTAGACCTGCCAAGATGCACCTTCACTCATGACTGTTTGCCGGCAGGCGGGTGGAGGTGCAAACCACATGCAGCGGCCGGGTGTGCAGCTCAGTGCCGTTCCCAGAGATGGAAGTATGGCCATGGCCTGTCCGTGTCCAGGCAGCACCACGGAGCCCCGTCTACACTAGGGGTCTTTGCCTGTGCAGGGACAGCACAACCCTGCAGCGGCAACCGGCCACGCCAGCACAGCTGTGCTTGGTACCAGCCTCCCACGAGCAAGGCCTGAGGTTTAACTACCAGAGTCTACTACCTACAAGCACAGCCCTGGGAGCCCTTTTCCCCCAGCCCTGCAAAACCCACAGGGCCGTGTCAATTCATAACCCCCCGCACCAGCCCCATAGTACATCAAGCAGCGAGGTCTGGCCCGCCCAGCCAAGGGTAGACCTCACCCCACGTCCAGCAGCTCCCTCTCCTTCCCGACCTGCCTGGCCTGAGGCAAGAGCAGGACGGGGACATATTTAACAAAAACCACATGCAAGACGGTGCGGGGTGATGCAAACCCAGCAGCTTCCCCTCCGTTCCCCCCACGAATGCAACGTGCAGGACGGCTCGCAGTTGGGGGGCCGGGCGGCTAGCGAACATTTTATTTAATCAAGTATCCAGGTTGTAGCCATATTGATCTAGAAATTAAACTGCAATTAATTTTTTTTTTTTTTTTTTTTGTGCAAAAAATCTAGTTAGTCTAAGAAAAGATGTCACCTCTACCACGAGTTCTGATTCACTGTATTTAATCAAGGCATACAACCAGGAGGGGAGAGGAAAGATTAGCCCCTGCCTTCTCCCAGGGCAACTCCGCATGCACCCTGCTCTTACAACGGGGGAAGGAAGGGTGCAAAATACAGGGCCGCATCCTAATTAGCTGTGAGCAAAGGATTAAGAAGTGAGTCAGGGGCTGCCTTGCATTTCAAAAGCCAGCTGGAGAGAGCTCTCTCCATCTGCATATTGAGCAGGTCACAGAGAAGTGCTCCTTCCTTCTGCTCCAGCTCCTGTTAACCCCCAGAGCCGCACCTATAAATCACAACCGGCAGCACAGGTCCTGGAGGGCGCGCTAAGAAACAGCCGCCAGGCATTTCTCGGAGGGGGAGTGGAGCACAGAGAGCACTGCCGGGGAAAAGCCAGGCCCTGCCATCACCCCAGGACTCAGCAGCTTCCGATCCCCAAGGCCCCAGCAGCAAAACACAGCCGCGGGGCTTGGGGCAGCGACTGATCTGGCCCTTGCACGGCACAGAGGACTCACTCTCCGCCTCCAAAAACTGCTGGCGGCTCTCCTAGTCAGCACACCTGGAGACCCAGCGCACCTTGCGACAGACACGGTTGCGGAGGGAGGCAAGGGGGTGAGGTCTCCCTTTGCCCGGGGACAGCCCCGGTCTGGGAGCACAGCTCCTCTGCCAGCAGGACCTTGGCCCCCGCGGGGTAAGGGGCGCGGTGGCTCCACGTGACAGCCAATGCACGAAGCCGGAGGAGGCAGCCAGGGGATGGTGCAGGGGGTGCGGATGTACGCACCTGCCACTGGACTGGGCCCCGGGGTCCTGCCCGGCTCTGGCTCTGCGGTGCCTTCCCTTGCTTCTTGCCCGCTATGCCTGGCTCGTATCAGCTGGTTGAAAAAGGGAGGCTGCCCACGGTCAGAGCGAGCCCTGGACCCCTCTGTCCGACCCCACCGATTGCGCAGATCACCCCCATGAGGTGCGCCCGCCTGGCCCGCATGTGCCCCAAGGCAAACCTCTCCTAGGCACGTGCCCATGCCTCGTCGGTGTTATGCATCCCCACCCCGGTGGGACACTTGTCCCCAAAGCCACCAGGCTACCTCTGGCCTTTCCTCCCTTGCTGGGGTTTGGCCCACTCGGCTTGCACCCCTCTACTCTAGCTGGTGTTTTAGCCAGGGGCCACCACCAAGACCTGGCTTCTGGGCTCCCACCCCTTGCCTCGTCCTCTGGGCCCTTCATCTCTGCCCTGCTCGGGCCGTGGGCCCCCGGCCCCAAGCTCTGCCCCTCTTTGGACTGTGGCTCTCTAGCCCTGTCTCTGCCCGCTCGGGCAATGCTGGGCTCCCCAGCCCCTGTCTGTGCCTTGAGTCTGACACCTGGCCGAGCTCCAGACCATCGCGTGCCCCTCGGGCGCTAACGGGACCTCCAGGCCACCCTTTTTAGTCCCCCCCAGAGTACAGCGGGACACTAGCCCGCACACGTGGCTGTAACACAATTTCCCCGCTGCGGCAGAGCTCCTGCACCCCACTCCGGAGCCCGATCCCCAGTCGGCAGAGGTCTACTTGCATTTCCCCGGGGTCGTCCAGGCAGCCTCTGCAGCTCTCCTGCCCTAGAGCTCTTGCCCCGGCGGCTCCCCAAGCTGGACTGCCCCTCCCGGCTCAGGTCCCAGGCTTATATGGCTGGAAGCCACGCCCCCTTTTGGTCATGTGACTCCCCGAGCTGCCCCAGGGGTTCCCGATTTAGCGGGCCAGCCAGGGACTTGCTGCTGCTGTGATAACAGCTTGTCTCCCGCGCAGGGCATGAAGCAGGGAAGCCCCCAGGTACCTGTTCCCGGGCGGCTTTCCCCGCCGGAGGCTCTCCCTGCTGCTCCTTCACCCGTAAAGTAACAGGAGCCTCCGGCTCCCGAGTGCAGCGTTCCCAGGGAAGGTGCAAACATAGCAACCGCTTCAGACCCAAGGGCCCAGGCCACGTGTCTGCACCGAGGCACGTCCCACTTGGCTGGGGCACCACCCATCCCACAGCAGGATAAAAGCAGAGCAGGAGAACTAAAAATAGCTGCAGCCCAAGAGGAGCAGGATGATGCAGCTACCCATGGTAAATCTCCACCCCTGCCAGCTGCAACCTGGAGCTGAATCACAGCCGCGGCCTCGGGGGCCCAGGGCGTGCCGTGTTTACCTGCAAGGTGGGCGGCTGGACACTACTCGGGGAACTCCCACTGGGACCCCTCAGCAGACCCCTCCGGCACCTGCTTCCTCAGATCGGGTTTGCTGCCTGTCCCCTAAGCCGTGCCACACAGCCCTCGGGGCAGCTGCACCGGGCTGGGCCTTGACCATGGCAGCAGGGCTCCTAAGGATGGCCCAGGGATCCCGTATGTCCTTGCAGACCCCCTCCTCCCAGGCTGCAGCACCAGGGGGGCTGTTTCTGCAGGAGCAAGTCCAGAGCCAGCGCACAGTCTGGGCGCCGGAGCCTGTCGCAGGCTCCGCGCTCCAACAGGCACTAGGGCTGGGGTGGAGGGCAGCAGACCCAGGCCTGGGACCGAACCCAAGGTGTGGGACTGCGGGTCGAGCAAATCCACAGCACGATCACAAGGGCCTGGTGTCCTGGCATCACCCACGTCCACAGTTGCTGCTGCAGAAGTGTGGCCAGGCATTGGCACGCACTCCAGCGGTGCGTGCCCTGACCTGCCGCGCAGATAACAATCGCGCCTGTCCCGCTGTCTCCTCCGCCTGTTACGGGAAGCGCTCCCTCCTCTCCAGTCACCTAGGTTTCATTCTCCTCCAGCTCCAGACCTGCCCGAGGCTGAGCCCTCAAATGGCAGCCCTTGCACACCTGGTCAGACTCCTGCTTGCTCGCAGGCAGGGGGTCGCCATTCAGAGACAGGCCTTGAAACCCAAATCCCAGGTGACTAAATGCCAGCTAGCCTCAGAAAGGCCCCAACTTCACAGCCCCAGCGAGCGCCCCGTCCTTTACCTCAGGGAGAACAGACCCAATGCATCCAAGCACTCTCACAGTGGTGGATCCAGAGCAATAAAGGGCAAGCTAGCTCCACCTCTGCTTTCCTCTGCATAAAACCACCCACTCCTTCTGCCTCTGCTTCCCAGCCTGAAAAAATAAATGCAGAATTTGGGCCGACTCTAGCCACCAGGCAGGCACCGTGCACATTGGTTTTAATAGATGTGTGCACTAGAAACAGTCATTCACTCGTGAAAAGTGGAGGCCACTTCCCTTCGCCCTCCCCATGTGCCCAGTTCAAACTGAACACAGCTACAATACCATTTCCTTTGCCTTCCCATATTTCCCACTTCGGCCTTGCCCGGAGTGCATCCATCATCTCCTCCGATTTATTTTCGTAGGCTTATTTTGAAGCCACAGGCACACATCCCGAAGGATCGGCCGTCAACATTCATAAAATACCAGCCTGCATTCTTTTCATAAGGAGATTAGCTTATCTTTTCAGGCCGGCTTGTGTCACTCAAGACTACAATGTGGTTTGTTGGGAGCAAGAGATGCATAATGCAAAGGGTCTTGTTTTTGTTCCAGATAACAGTCCCTACATCACAAGAAGCCCAGATAAACGGCCGTGGAAACTCTGGAGGAGATTTAAGGAGGTGCGTTTCGCTGAATTGCTAGCAGAGTCCAACCCCTGCAATCGGCCCCCGTGGTGTGAAGGTGACTGGATGCCCAACCCTCACTGCTTCCCAAGGGATTTAGATGCTTTGCTACTTTTAAAACTGTGCCCTACGAGGCTTGAGGCATCTAAAAATGGGCACGTGGGTTTTTATGAAGAAAACCTGTCTCCTGAAGAGGCATCAAACTGGTCCAAAAAAAAAATTTAAAAAAAACCCGAAGAAAAGAAAACCAAAAGACAGACAAACAATCACCAGGATGTTTTAAGCTCTCAGGCCAAGCCATCAACCCCACCCGACCTGCGCTTCGCATGGGAGCTAACAGCCAAGGTCCAAAGACCGTTTTGGGCTGTTCTCTGCTCTGCCTGGGTCCGGACCACACGTGTCTGCCCGCAGCACGCATTACATGACAGAGGAAGACTCCCCGAAGTTCAGTACGGGCACCGCTGCTCTGCTAAACTTAAGTCATTACTGCAAAACTAGCACCGGCTCTGCCACAGCCACTGCAACGCCCACCCCTTGGGTTTAATGACTCAGATGTGAAGTTCCTGTTGGGTAGGAAATGGGGAATTCCTCTGGTCTGGGGACATGTCTTTCCTGCCGCCAGCTTTCCAGCTGCCTGCAGCTGTTATGGCAGAACGGTGTTAACAACACTGTGAAGGAAAATCGAGTCCTAGCATTGTAAAGTCAGAAACTGTCATCAAGTCTCTGTCCCCAGCTCCTCCAGGCTACTGCAAGGGGAAAGCTTCACCCCCATCCCACCGAGGGAAGACCAGGTGCAGAAGCTGAGATGGTTTCAGTGGACTTGGACCTCCTGAGCACAACCCCCGATTGCATCCATGGAGGCAGCATCTGCACCCGTGGCTGTCTGGGATGCCAGCCTGCGCCCCAACAGATGCCTACATGATGGGCACAGTGAGCTCACACCTCTGAGTTGGTCGCATTACATCACTTGAACAGAAATAGCCCGGGCTGCCAGCGAGGCCCAGAGCTGACTCACTGCAGGTCACCACCCCAGCCAAACCCATGTCATAAGGAAGGGAAAAAAATAATATCGCAGGACCCGCCCTCATTCATCTCATGACAAAGGGTTTGGGAGTCTGAAGCGTTCAGAGCAATTCACTTCTGGCTGGAGGATCCCTGACTTATATATCACAGCCCCAAATAACCTGTGTTCCCGCCCAGTACAGGGGGTGAGTCACAGGCATCGGTCCTGTGGCTACGGGACCGGAGCGGAGAGCCGGCCTCTGCTCTAAGGTAGGGTTACCGTATTTCGAGCCAGCCACGCAGCTCCCACGAAGGGCTCTCCCGCCCCCTTCCCCAATCCTCTGCTCTAAGCAGGACCAGCCCCAACTAGATCATCCCAGCCAAAGCTTTGTCTAGCCAAGTCCTGAAAACCTCCAAGGATCTGTGCTATTATCTGCGCTCGTGTCCCAAAGATGCATGCAGCTCCCTTGCTGGGAAAGGGATCCTTACCTCGCCTTCCAGACCTGCACCAAGCTGCCCCGTTGTCACCTGGAGGGAGTGAGGCAGGGAGGGAATCCCAAAAAGCCCAGTGCAGGCTCCCCGCCTAGGATCACCCTTGTTTGGAAGGTAACATTCATGGGAGCCAGCCCAGCCCCTGCTGTTCTGGAAAGCAAAGCGAAAGCCCTTCTTGGAAAGGCTGCAAAGTAGGGAAGGCCGCAGGTTTAGGTTCAAACTAAGCCAGCTTAAATCTGCTCTGCTGCTTTTAATTCAGTTTAAGGTTAATTCTTTAGCAAGTGATGCTAAGTCAGGGCGAGTCTGGTTTAAATCCAGAGTGGTTGCTAGATGGGGTGTTGGCCCACACCTGCCCCTTTCAGGAGCCACAGTGCAACCTGCAATACAGATGGACAGTGCAGAAGATGGCACAAAACACTAGATCGCAAGGAGGAAGCACAGAAAACACCTTTCAAAGCACCACCAAGGACAAACCATCTCCCCTTCTAAGCGCGTGCGTATGAAGGATCGATGCCCCAAACAGATCTGGACGGGCCCACAGCACGGGAGCTACCAGGGGCATAGCTAGCTTAGACCTGGCAGACACAGACTGCAACAGGCAGCCACAACATCAAGTCCAGAGCCTGAAATAGAGCAATGGAAAGAGGAGATGCTGCAAAGCACGCCAAGACATCTGTGAGAGCGCTCTTCTCCCCGCCCCGTCAAAGAGATCCTCCGCCCAGACGCCAGGAACCAGAACCACAGCACCGACACCAGAAAGAGCACGCTTCACGGGAGTAGCACACCACGTCACAGGCAAGCGAACGTGGCTTGCGGGGAGGAGGTGTGTGATTACAGACAGGATGAGATAGCAGTGGGGAAGGGATGTACAACACACCCAGGGGGATACCCAAAGAAATCCTCTTTATACCGCCCGCTTCAAAACACAAAACAACCACCTGTAAGAAAAAGGAAGGCGGATGAGCTTGGCAACGAGCCCAGCTCTGACATTCGAAACAAAACTAGATTCCTGCAATCGCACTAAAAAGCCCCCCCAGAGGGACACTAAATCCTCCGAGCCCAGACTGCTGCAGTGCCCCGGCAACCAGAAGTGACCCCCAATCAGCTGGAAACGTCCCAGACCGACTCCAAGAGAAACCAGCCGCGTGTTTCGGGGAAAGCAGAGACTCAAGTTTTGCCGGGCTGGTCTCAATGTCTGCACATCTGATCGGTGACACGGGGTTTGGCAAAGCGAGAGAGTGATTTCATGGACATGCAGCATCCTGCGCGCGGGACACGCTGTATATTTACATCATGCACAAAGGGCCCTGGCTTACAACCCATGCTCCGGCGAATAATCGTTATTCACAATTAATGCAAAGAGAACAATCCAGTTCCCACAGAAGCCTGAAGTGCGCTCCCCACCGTCCCCACAGGCGCTCCTTTGTGCTTCTTGAGCTCATCGCAGCCAGGCCCCTTCCCTTTCTTCAGGGGCTGTGAATTTCTCTATGCCCTTCCCTCTCCTCCCCCCAGCAAGACAAACACGGACAGTTTTAAGGACATGGGGAACTACATCTTTGGCAAGAGCCGGCTGGAACAGGTGGCTGCTTCACTCGTGGTCAGACACGGGCTGCAGCAGAATGCACGGGGCTCCCTCGCTAGGAGCCATCGCCGTGCGCTCACCGCCAAGGGCATTGCCGCTCAAAACGCGGCGCTCTAATGCAACAGAAAACATTTTGTTACTTTCAGTTTCAGGATTTCGACATTTCCCTTGCAGTTCGGGAGCGCCGGGGCGTGCAATCCAGCAAGCGGAACAGCTCGGGGCCTGACCGAGGACAAAAGTGAAATGAGCTAATAGTTCACCCCCGTGGCAGAGTCCTGGGAAATGCAGAAAGCAAGCAGAGTAACCTGGGATTTTAAAGGGTGTTTGTGCCTGAAAGCTTGCAAAGAACAATTTTTCCAACTATTTAGTTGGTTTAATAAAAGATATCACATCTACCCAAAGAACCTGATCTGCCTTGGGATTTTAAAGACACTTTCTGTTCTAGAAGTGCTTGGATCACTTATGCCCACTTATGCCCCCAAAACTAACACAAGCAAGGAACCCCCTTGCCATTTTAATCCAAATGTCCCTTAAAAAACAATGTGAAGACTAGCTCTGGAGGACAGGAAAAGGTCCCCCAGGGTAGGCCATGCAGGAAGCCTCTCTCCACTCAGGACTGACTAGTCTCTTGGCAAGAGGCAATGAGAGCGCACGTGAGCATTAAACATCCTTTCCTCACCGCTGAGCTCATGCTTCTGGTTTCAGAGCTGCGGCTGTCAACTGAACTTTGCTCCTTTATACGACACGAAGCTGAGGAGGAGAAGCAAAAGTTTTCTTCCCCGGCTGCCAAACCAGTCGGACGGCTTTAAGGATT